TGTTTCTTCCAAATTCCATTTTCTTCCCCATGTATTCTTGATCTCAATTTCTCATTTTCAATTGAAAGCTCTTCATACTTGCGAATAAATATATTCATTGAGTCGCGAGCATAACTTGGTACTTCGCCATGATCTAACCAAGTCCAACAATTACAAGCGTTTGTAGCACAAATTTTCCAAATCGACGACATGGATGCCCCGGAGTGTAAGAAGTCTTCATTTGCACTGGACTCCCACAATAGCAATTAGAAATCTCGTATGGAGGTGGATGATTCCACATGCAACATATAGCCTCCTATCAAAGAACCTTACCCGTTTAGAAGAGGATGATTGTTGATGTTGATGACATGATTCTGCGGGAAATAATCATAGTTAGAATGTAACTCACCATAATTAACACCCACTGTAATATTCTGCAAGGAGATAAATAAAAAAAAAAAAAAATCAAAATTGTGTTAAGAGATTATACAAAAGTGTATTTCTTCTTTAAAAAAAAAATTTCACGGCTGAAGATTTATTTGAGCTCACTTCAAATATAATATTATGCAATAATATTTATCCATATTAATTTTTATAATAAAAATTGTAGCTCAAAAAAATTTACGGCCTCTACACATGATCATAAATATTCCAACAAATGAATCAGAAATTTGTAAAAATCTAAAGTATCAATATGCAATCCCTAGAAATTAGATGAGAATTCTTCCAAAAAAAATCTCAACATTAAAAACCCTAATTAATAATTTATTCATAAAATTGAATTAGAAATTTGCAAAAATCTAAAGCATCAACATGCATTCCTTAGAAATTAGATGAGAAATCTACAAAAAAAATCCTAATTTGAAAGATTAAAGTTTGAGAAATTTGCCAAAACCTAGATCTGTTGGGGAGAGGACTACGGCGAACTCGAGCGAGGGGCTGACTTCGGCGACGGGCGGAGACTCCGGTGGTCCTTCTCACTTGAGTTCGGGTGCGCTTCCGGCGGTGGTTGCCCGAGTCGCAGGGGAGATGAGAAATTAATTTGAAGCGAGGAGAGAGAATAGGGCAGAGGAATTGGTCATGAGTATAGATGGGAAATTAATTTGAAGTGAGGAGAGATAATAGGATGGAGGAATTGGTCACGAGTGTTTTTTCACAGAATTGAGATCAAAATTAATTTGCTGACGTGACTGGATCCACATAGGACGCTCGATGCCCCTACGCGATGCCCTGCGTGCCAATAGCATTGTTGATATGCTATATAGTCATAGCTAGTATTTCAACACTTGCAATGCTGTACACTTAAAAAAAGTTTCCATAAAGGAAAATGAATGAAGAGTGATGCATGCTTGTCAATCTGAAAATAGTGAAAGGCTGTATATGCGAGTATATAACAAAAGGAGAGAGAGAGAGAGAGAGAGAGAGAGAGAGAGAGAGAGAGAGAGAGAGAGAGAGAGAGAGAGAAGAGAGAGAGAGAGAGAGAGAGAGAGAGAGAGAGATTTTGGTGAACACAAATTTGACCAATTCCATACTCTCAGAGAGAGAGAGAGAGAGAGAGAGAGAGAGAGAGAGAGAGAGAGAGATTTTGGTGAACACAAATTTGACCAATTCCATACTCTCAGAGAGTATATGCATTATCGAGAATTATTTATTTGGGTAACATGTTGTGTTTTTAAATGCCTCATAATTTTCTTTGTTCCTGGCTTGGATTGAGGTTGCATTGGCTGTTATATTATTTTACATTGTTCCAGTACCTGATATGGATGGATCATTTGAACTTCTTCTTTTCAAATGTAATCACGTATATCTGATCACTTATCATATCATACTACTTTTAAAAGCACGAGTTCAGGGAAATATTTACTTCCAAAATTAGGTGTAATAATTTCATTCATTGGGTAGAGCGAGCAATGTATTTGTACTGGACAAACATTTTCTTGCAAAAAAGCAATTCTACTCCTGCAAACATTAATTTGAGCTAAAAGGCTTTGTCATTGCTATTGTAGATTCTTCTCTTGTTCGATATAATTCTTTACTTATCAAAGTTTCTTGTTTTTCCGTGGCTTCCCTTTTTTTTGTGTTCGCTTTTCCAGTGTTTGGTGAAACATCTTTCTTCGATCTTTCATTTTTTTAATCGATGAATTATCACTGAGCTATTTAACTGGCTCAAATGGGTCTAAGTTCATAAAGCGCACAGCATGAGTTTGGGCAATATTCTCTAAACTCCTCATGTATAGCGAAACTGAATTCCTTATCCTACAACTCATTCCTGATAAAAACTCGCTAAGGTTCAGTGAATATCTGATACAATTTTATACTGTCAATTGAGTCCATAAGATTGTCATCATGTCATGCCTCATGCTCATCAAAGTACATGCATTTATCTCAGAGTCCCCCCTCTCAAAGCGGTCAGATATTCGACAACAACTGCTATGTTCCATATGACTGGTGCACGAGATATTGGTCATTCCTGCAAAATGAAAGGCTTTATATATTATCAACTAAATCGTCTCAGAATGGCTACTTCATATTCCAGATAAAAATCCCACGCACAACAAAGTCATATCGCCTGCAATTTTATTTGCATTTCCCTCAGTATCATTTTCATGTCGTAAACATACAGGAAGAAGGGGATCGAAGAACTCCAAAATGCCTTCTATTTGAAGAAAACCAGCGAAATTGAATTGGTCATGTTCTTCTGATGCTTGTTACCTTTCGGTCATGGTTTCCGGTTAATCACCTAGAAAGTTTACGATCTAACGTCGTTCTCCATGGGTGTGCATTTGACTGCCGCAGAATAATTCAGTAGCTTAACCATATATCCCTTCTCTCTGAAATGCACTGCTGAGCATAGCGTGACACTGGATTCACAAGTGAATATGCTGAGGTATGCATCTCCTAAGATTTATTGCCCCCTTGAGCTCCAGCACATCTTAATTTTCTCTTGAACAATTTTCTCACCATGGCCAACCCTGCAAGTTCGTCTACACTCTCTGGCCTGATTGCTGGCGCGATAGGCCGTACATGATTCTGAAGCACAAGAAGCGAGCTCTGCTGCTGAAGAATTCGGTATCTTCTACGCCCAATAAAAAGTCGTGTATTTGTTCTTGATTTTACTTAAAGACAGCAAATGGAATTTGATTGATTGAATTGACAGCAAATGGAATTTGATTGAATTTATTCTTCTGCCATCCTTTGCTGAAAATTTATCTTTGCCTATGTATCGATGAGGATAAAAGTACTATGAGAGCCATGAAGCTTGCACAAAACAATGTTCATTTTCTCATTGCTGCTGTCCGCGCTCGGATCAATAATGCAAGCATGTCGACTTGGAGCGGTTATAACAGATGTAATCGTACACGCACGAGCTCAATCAACATTCTTCCTTTGTCGAAGCAATGCGGATCTAAATTCTCAATCCTCACATGATCATTTACACAAATAATGGTATCGACGATGGGTTTATGTGCAAAGAATGCTTTAACGATATATCATAGAAATGCATTAGCAACTCTTATCGATAATAATCGCCGAATAGGATTTGTATGAGAAATGCATCGTTATAGAAATTCATAGTAATTGTTAATAAGTAGTAAAAAAAAGTAGTGTAGAGCTTGATATAAGCAAGAATAGTGATGGGTCCCACATTTTTTTTTGGGGGAGGTATTTGTAATTTCTCATTTCACTCCCTACTTAACCCAACCCCACAAGTAACCTGCCTTACCTTAACCTGACCTCAATGAGTGGGACCCACACTAGACATTTATTAGAACAATTTTTCAAAACAGTCCCATTTAGAGTTTTTTTTCAAAATCGACCGGTTTTTTTTATTTATCAAAACCGACCCGATTTTGTGATTAACCGGCTAATCACCTTCCTAAATAGTCGGGGTTGGCAACCCCGACTATTTAGGACCTTAATTTTTAGTGTTTAAGGCCTCTAATTAGGGTTTAATACCCTTCTAAGTAGTCGGGGTTGGCAACCCCGACTATTTAGGATGGTGATTAGGCTGCTAATCACAAAATCGGGTCGGTTTTGATAAATAAAAAAAACCGGTCGATTTTGAAAAATAAAACTCTAAAGGGGTCTGTTTTGAAAAATATTTATTAACCAGCAAAAAAGCCATTCACATGCGCTGCCCTATGATTTATTCTTCATTCACCAAAATGCTAATTAATAATAAATTACAAAAGTAACACCTTATTTATTTATTCCATTTATTGCTGAATTTTTTACTTAATAAAATAAAATAAAATAAATAACATGTTAAAAATACTAATATTAGAAAAAAAAAAAGCAAACCAGAGCTTTGGTTAGGAAGTAACCCTAGTTAGAGGTATCAAAAGCATGAAAAATAAAAAAGAAAAAGAAAAAGGTGAGGGTCAAGAAAAATCATATATATACAATAATAAATCAAAAGACTAACAAAATCGTTTTGTATTTGGGTATTTGGGGATTTTCTTTTTGTTGAGCTCTGAGGTTTGACTATTGGTGAGCTAGGGTTTCCCCTGTTCTTTTAAGATTTGGGTGGGAAAATAATGGAGATTCAAATTCCTTCAAATTCGCGAATTTTCTCGACTGTTCTTTTAAGATTTGGGTGGGAAAATAATGGAGATTCAAATTCCTTCAAATTCGCGAATTTTCTCGAGATGGGTAATTTCTCTTTCTCTTCAATAATTCCTTCAAATTCGCGAATTTTCTCGAGATGGGTAATTTCTCTTTCTCTTCAATTTTGATTCAGCTACTATTTGCATCTGATTTCATTTCATTCCGTGATCTCTAGCTGGAGATCGAATGATTTAGGGTTTCTTGAAGCTCAGATCAAAATTTTGTTGTGTATTTGAAATAGGCTGCAATTTGTGCAGATTGGATGCCTTTGATGTTAAATTGAGCTTATCTGAGCTTCAAATTCTAGGGTTTTGGCAATTTGTGCAGATTGGATGCCTTTGATGTTAAATTGAGCTTATCTGAGCTTCAAATTCTAGGGTTTTGGCTGCTGAATTTTGAATTTTAATCAATAGGTTAAATTGAGCTTATCTGAGCTTCAAATTCTAGGGTTTTGGCTGCTGAATTTTGAATTTTAATCAATAGAGGACTTTGTGAGGGAATTATGGTGATCTTCTTTCAACAGCTTTTCTGTCTTCTTTCCATTATGGTTGCTTTCCTGATGAAATTCTCTACTTTTTTAGTTCCTTCAGTTTTTTTAAATAAAGCTTATGGCTGTGAATTATCTTATGTGTTTCCTTCTCTCATAGTTAGGATCACTAGATATGAATTGTCGTGGGATTTAATAAGAAAATTGTCTGTATATCTTCATATACATATTTATAGTTGCATATCTTGGTTGAGTAGACAATCATAAGGTTTAAACACTTATATTGATGCGTATGGCTTTTGTTTTCTGTGAATTATTGTTGACTATACTAAGTAGTTCATCATTTGACTCTTTTTGTTTGTAAAATTAGGTTGTTTGAGGCTCTGTTTGAACCGTTTTTTACTGGAGACTGTTTAGTGCAAGTACTAGAAGGTAAAGCCGAGCTCTGATCAGTCTTTTGTGGTGGATTTTTTTCAAGCACAAAGTCAGTAAATGGAATGTAATAGGGATGAGGCCCTCAGGGCGAGGGAAATTGCCGAAAAGAAGTTCACCACTAAAGATATTGCGGGTGCCAAGAAGTTTGCTTTAAAAGCCCAAAATCTCTTTCCAGCTCTCGAGGGTATTAATCAGATGATATCGACTCTAGATGTTTATCAGGCTGCCGAATCTAAGATTAACGGTGAGAGTGATTTGTATGCAATACTTAGTCTTAACTCTTTAGCAGACGAAGAAACTGTGAAGAAACAGTACAGGAAGTTAGCTCTTCAGCTTCACCCAGACAAAAATAAGTCGATAGGTGCAGAGGGTGCTTTCCATCTAGTTTCAGAGGCTTGGAGTGTGCTCTCTGATAAAAACCGGAAATTAATTTATGACCAGAAAAGAAATGTGAAAGGATCACAAACGAAAGTCTCTCATCCCAAGGGCAAAAATGGCTTCTACAATTTCGCGAATAATTCAACCTCCAATAAAAGGTCACAAAAGAGTTCAACTGCTTCGGCTCAGTCCAATACTTTTTGGACATCGTGTAACCGATGCAAGATGCAATACGAGTACCTCAGGGTATATCTCAATCACAACCTCCTTTGCCCTAATTGCCACGAAGCATTCTTGGCAGTTGAAACTGGGTTCCCATCTAACGGAGCAGGTTCAAATTTTTCGTGGACAACTCCTCAACAGAATCAGAAGAAATCTAACAGAAAAAATCCTCACGGGTCCTCGGCAAATCTTGATTTGCATAATAACCCGAACTTCCAGTGGAGTGCATTCTCTAGAACGGCTGGGGCTGCGAGTGAAACAGCGCCGTCATCTGTAGCTGCACAAGCAGCTAGTGTTGTTCACCAAACATATGAGAAAGTGAAAAGGGAGCGAGAAGAAGCACAGGCAGCGGCTAGAAGAGAGGAGGTTCTTCGTAGAAAGAAATTGAGTCCGAAGAGGAGCATCAGTAGCTCGGGGTATTATAATTTTGGTGCTAGTGATAATGTAGCTAAGGTTGATAGGCCGGCAAAGAGAGGGAGAAGCATCACTGAAGAGATTTCTGAGGGCTGGAAAACTGCGAATTTTGATGCTGGTAAGATGAGAATGTCTTCTAGAGTGAGCAGCTTGAGCAGGGAGATTGATAAAAGGAATTTATTAATGCAGAAGGCTAAGGTAGAGATAAATAAGAAGTTAGAAGTGTGGAATTCAGTGGCAGCAGAAAAATTGGCCGAAAAGTCACAGACAAGGCAAAAACAAAAACAAAAGGGCAGGAGTAATGTAAAAATAGTATCTAAACCTGATGGGGGCATTTCATTTATGAAGGAGCCCACTGATAACAGCAATATCGATTCAAGTGAGGTAGCGAAGAAATCTGTGACAATTGTTGTTCCTGACCCAGAATTTCACGATTTTGACAAGGATCGCTTAGAAAAATCTTTTGAAGGAGAGCAGGTATGGGCTACATATGACAATGAAGACGGCATGCCACGATTCTATGCCCTGATTCAGAAAGTTCTCTCTCTCAGGCCTTTTAAGCTTCGCATCAGTTTTTTAAATTCAAAGAGTAATAGTGAATTGGGGCCAATGAAATGGGTTGCCTCTGGATTTGCCAAGACTTGTGGGGATTTTAGAGTGGGAAGATATGAAGTCAGTAATACAGTAAATATCTTTTCTCACAGGGTTAGGTTTGAGAAAGGTCCCCGTGGGATTGTAAAAATTTTACCGAGGAAAGGTGATACTTGGGCTCTTTACAAAAATTGGTCACCAGAGTGGAACGAGCTGACACCAGACAACGTGATTTACAAATATGACATAGTTGAAGTTGTTGATGATTATAATGAGGAGAAAGGGGTGCTTGTTACTCCTCTAGTTAAGGTTGCAGGTTTCAGAGCAGTTTTCCATAGACACACGGATCCCACTGAAATCAAAAGGATCCCGAGAGAAGAGATGTTTCGATTTTCACATCAGGTGCCTTCGTATTTGCTTACGGGAGATGAAGCAAATAATGCTCCAAAAGGATGCTGTGAGCTTGATCCTGCTGCTATCCCGTCAGATTTTCTTCAGGTAATTGCGGAATTTGAGGAGGCTCTGGAGACTGCTGAGTGACTTTAGGAAATTTGGTTGACCTTTTTGTTGTATTAATTCACATCGGGACACATTTCAACGATTTAAGGTGTAGAGCATCTTCACATATTCTGCTGATGACTTGGGCTTCTTTAACCTCAATTTTCCATCAATACGAAGATAGCATTTAGCATTACATTCGTCCTGGATGGTACCTGCAGCCTATACAATTTGGACCAAGAAGATACCAATATGGTTTATGTATTCTTTCCCCTTGTGTTCATATTCTGTGCTACATTATTCTGTGAGGTAGTTCAATATATTCTCACATATGTTCTTTAGCTTCTTGGTTTGTTGTGGGGTTAAAAAAATGAAATCAGAAGCACACTGCAAAATATGGCCAAGTAGATTCATTATTGTTTCGATATTGTAATGTTCATATGGTTTTCCTCAAAACTATTGATACCATTCTGTAACATTAGTGAATGACACGAGGGGAGGTTTCTGGATAAAATCTTAAAGTGAAACGAGATTTTCTGATAACCCCTAACATATAACATAAGGGGGGTTTACTACTATTTTGAAAGTTATGGGGAGGCCTACTCATCATTGTATGGAGGATTTTTTTTTTGGTGGGGGGGTGTGTGGGGGGGGGGGGTGGTGGTTTGGGGGCGGGTTCTGTCTATCTAGTTTCATTTCCTCCTGGTGTACGTGTACTGATTTTGAAAGAAACTTCTTCATATACATTGTCATGAATGATTTTGCATGATTTATTTTCATTACCAGACAATATGATCACTACCTCTTAGTCTACCACAAATAAACTGCTTTTTTGGGGAGATGATAATAGATTCCAAATCTTTTTTAAATTTGACATCTTCATATCTTTATTGCAATAACCAGATTTTGGGGCAAATAGTCAGTCGGCGTTTGATGTTATAAATCATAATAGTTTTAAATGTTACAACTCATAATAGTTTTAAATGTTACAACTCATAATAGTTTTTACTTTCTCTTGGCTAATTTCAATTAGTTTAGCTCAATGAGTCTGTCCAAGTCCTTCACACAATTTTCATACTTGACGTCCCTTGGTTCTCAAAGATGACAGTTACTAACTTAATAGGCATTAGTAGTATTTGCATTATGTTGACATCTCTACAGTTTTTTTTTTACTTTCACTGTTTATTTTATGAACAAAGCTTTGATGCATAGGAAAGTCAAAGTTAGTTTTTATATCATATATGCGTTTATACTTTTTTATATCATATATGCGTATATTTTGTCGTAACAGTTTGTGTAGTTTTCATACTTATGACTGACTGTGCTTATTTGATCTCCTGTATTTCCTTTTTTCCATTGTGCTTATTTGGGAAAAGAAACTGGCAAAGGCCCTCAAATTCACCTTATTAGAGTAGTTCTGAAAGAAAATCCAAGGTCCTCTACAGATTGAGGTTAAGAAGAGATAATGATGTGGAATTTTATGTAAATAGATTTTACACGCACGTACAGATATTGCATATCAAGCTTATCCTCAGTCAGGGAGTCCAATACGTTCTTAAGTCCAAATCAAAGGAAAATAGCCGCAAGCCTGAAGGACAAATATATTCTGCTCACTGTTAATCTTTCTGATTATGCTACTGTTTTTCTTCAGTGGTGCAAGCTGCAACTATTCATCTCGATTTCATAGTTTTGGTATGTGCTTTCTTTGCACAGTGCAGATCCTTTGTGTATTGAATCAGTAAAAGTACTGCGTAAGATATAATTTTGTTGCTTACTTTATTTGTTAAAATTAATGTTCTAAAATCATGCACCTTCAATCTTGCAATTGTAATCTTGGTTTAGTATTTTGTTAGCAGGTTGGTGCTTTTTTAGCTGGTCCATGCAAAAATCAAGTTCATGGTCCACCTAACTGTTGAGAAATGCAAAGTTTTTATGGTGAATGGTCACGCGATCTGGTTGTTAAAAACCCATTTTTGTTATTTCAAACGGCATGAGTATTGTACGATGATGGGAATGTCTATTTACTTGTAATGATCTTCATTTTTTTCTTTATTCATATTCATTTTATGCAATTGTTAGCATTACATCTGCATTGATACTGTGAACAATGCTCACCATGCTCCCCATGCCCATTGCCCATGCCCATTGTCCATGCTCTCTTGTCAATGTTCATGCTCACCCATGCTCTCTTGTCCCCTCTTATTTGCATGTAAATAGAAGGGAGGAAGAGAGGAGAAAGGGTGGAGGAAGAAAAGAAAGAGCGGGAGTTAAAAGAGATTTTTAAGAGAGAAAATTCAGAGAGAGAGAGAGAGTGTGCTTGTGAGTTGTACAAGTGGAAGTCGGTATTATCCTCATAGTGAAATCCCCCCTTACCCCCTCCCGTGAACGTAGATAAGTTTGCTGAACCACGTAAATCTCGTGTCTGTATTGTCTTAACTGTGTGTTTGTCATTGCTTGTAAGTACCCTAGACAATTCAGTCCTAGAACTGATGAGAGGAAGAGTATATTTTACTTTGTTGAGATATTTTACTTTCTATTCTTGTTTTCTTTGAGAAACGAGAATATAGAGGTTAGCTTGTGCTTTTGTGACAACAAAAGTCAATGCTTTCTCTCGGGTGATATCGTTTCCGCGACGTGAGGGTGTTGACTCTACGCCCAACAATTGGTATCAGAGCCCTTAATCAGATTGGTGATGGTAGAACTTCCGATTTGAGGTGGTGCTTGATTATTGTGTGGTAAAACGCAAGGTATTTGTTGAAATTTCTGAGAGAAGCAATTTTATTAATACAAGCAAAAAATAACGTCTACAAGTAAAAAAGTTAAAGTCGGAAAGTACGAGATTGAAAAATTCAATGGGAAGAATAATTTTTTCTATTGGAGGATGCAAATGAAAAATCCGTTGATTTCGCAGAAATTGCATAAAGCTTTGGCGGGAAAAGAGAAGAAGCACAATGATATGTCTGATGAGGATGGGAGGAGCTGGATATGGAAGCACGTGCGTCGATTATCCTTTGCCTTGAAAGGGATGTAGCTTTCTTGGTAGATAGAGAGGAAACGGCTACGGGCGCGTGGTTGAAGTTGGAAAGCACCTTCATAACGAAGAGTCTAATGAACCGGATCTATTTAAAATCCAAATTGTATACTTGCAAGATGGAGGAGGGCTTATCAATCCGGGAGTACATCAACAAGTTTGATAGGATCTTATCGGATTTGAAAGACATTGAGGTGACAATGGAAGACGAGGATCAGACACTTCTACTACTTCTATCTCTGACGAAGTCTTATGAGAATTTGGTTCAAACACTGATGCTTGTGGCTGATAGTTTGTCGATGGATGAGACTAGAACGACGCTTCTAGCGGATGATCTTTGAAAAATTACAACTAGTGATATGACCACTGGTGGTAACAAAGAACAAACGCATGGGTTTTTTTACCAGAGGAAGGGGCAATGAGGAAGGAAAAGACAAGGGAGGAAAGTCTAAATCAAAATCAAGACCTCTTGCGGAAAGACCGTGTTTCAAATGCGGTGAGCTAGGGCATTTCAAAGTCAATTATCCTAACAAGAGATTAGGTGGGAAGAAGAACAACAAGACTGAAAAATGAGAAGATAAGGAAGAGGCGAGCTACGCTTCATGGGAAGGGAGCGATAAGGAATGCTATGTCATCACGGGTGGCGAGGATACCTCCGAGAAGTGGATACTTGATTCTGGTTGTTCTTACCACATGTGTCCAAATAGGAAGTTGTTTACTACCTATAGGAGCATTGATGGTGAAACCGTATTAATGGGGAACAACCATGCTTGTAAAACGGTGGGCCTAGGTGATATTAAGATCAAGATGCATGATGGAGCGCCTTGACGGATGTAAGGCACATTCCCGACTTGCGGAAGAATCTTATCTCAGTTGGTGCTTTGGACTCCGAGGGTTGCAAGATTGTAACAGAGAACAGAGTGAAGAGGGTTGTTCAGGGTTCCTTAGTAGCGATGAAGGGCATTTGTCACAGTAACCTATATACTCTCTTGGATATGACGATGACGGGAGATGCAACTGTTGGAACTGATGGAAGTGGTGGAGACCTATGTGAGCATACACGGTTATGTCATAGGTGGCTTGGGCACATGTCAGAGAAGGGTCTAGATCTGCTCGGTAAGGATGGCTTGTTGAAGAATCTGAAGAAGCCTTGTATGGATTTTTGCGAGGTCTGTGTGTATGGAAAGGCACACTGTTTTCATCAAAAGTTGGTTTCATTATGGAATTCATTATATATTCAGTCGATTGCAACAAATTCAAAAGAAACAGTCTTTTTATAAGACTTCTTTTACACAACAAAAGGAAAGTTATAACTTTTTAGAAAATAACACAGGAATCGTTTATCGATTTCTGCTTCTGTGGGACTTTGCCTGTGCCGGGAGTGCTTTGGCTCGTGGACCACCGATTCACAGATCGTGAAGGTCTTTGGTATTCTTCCTTCGTTTAGAAGCAAGAATGAAAATCAGTGAATATCTTATCAAAGTAAGATGAACACCCTTCTTAAGATCAAGTCAAAGCTCAAATCTCAAGGAATCACACAAGGAACTCAAGCTTGCTGCTCTATCTGCTCTCTGTGCTCAGATCTCTGTCAGTAATGGCTCTAGGGGGGTATTTATAGCCCTCAGGAGAAGTTCAACTGAAAATACTGCATTGTGAAGAAATCGTGCCTGCGAGACAGTGTTATCTGTCTCGACGGCCGAGACAGTGTGTCTCGCGCTTCCAGACAGCCATAGCTATCTCGGAAATCATCAAACTGTCTATCAGTTCTTCTGTAACTGCCTTCTCACGTTCTAAACTCCGTTATTTGACAGTTATCCACGTGATTCTCGGCCCACGATGTTTCCCACGTTCTTTGACAGTTAATGGACACGTGTCATGCAGTTATTTCAACAGCTTTTGATCATTTCAGTGCTAAAAAACACTGTCTCGCGTGCGAGACAGTCAATACTATCTCGCATTGCCGACTGCGAGATAGTAGACACTGTCTCGCACTGCGAGACAGTCTACACTGTCTCGCATTTGTGAGACAATCATCACTGTCTCTCACTGCGAGACAGTCGACACTGTCTCGCGTGTGAGACAGTCTACACTGTCTTGATCATTTCGAGACAACGTAAAGTCATTTTCTGTGATCTTTGGATGATTTTCTCATTGTTTTGAGCTGTGTTTGGATATCTATTAGTATTTTTTGATGCCTACAGATACCCTCTCCAAAGTATTCCAGACTCATTCCTTTATAGAGAAGTCTGGGACACTTTGGATAAGATAGGTCTAACTTACAATCCTTTCAATACTTGGTTGAATAAATCGTGTAGAAGGACCCGTAAATGGCTTCAACTCTTGATCTCTTTATCTCTCAATCTATTCAATGCTTTGTAGAATAGCTAAGATTCTTCCGGTACTACGTTTATCGCTTCACCGTTGTCGAGATCTTGAACCGAAGCTGGAATTTGTACTTGTGAATTCAGCTTTTGTCGCCAA